TTGCTTTTTTGAGTTTTTAAAAGAATTACCATATTGTGATGACTATTTCCCAAATGCTCCCCTACTTGAATGTTGGTTAAAAGATCAACATTGTTTGTTATAACAAGATCCAGACAAGCATCCTTTCTAGTTGGTGCTTGTACCAGTTGTGACATAAAGGTGTCATTTAACACATTCAAAAACCTGATTCCCCTTGCTGAAGTACTAGTCACTCTATCCCAATTTATGTCCGGGTAATTAAAATCTCCAATAATTAACGTGTTACCCTGTTTTGCAGCTTTCTCTAACAGCTGTTCTTCCTCATTAATATTAACATTAGGTGGTTTATAACATATCCCAACCAATAACTGATTTTCCTTAGTTTGCCCTAAGCAGATATCTACCAAAAGCGTCCACATTTTCCTCGTCACACTCCACATGCCTAAGATTTGACTTTAACTCATGGTTGAGGGTGACAATGTGTGTTTAGGGGGTGACAGTGTGTGTGTGTGTAAGGGTGGACAATGTGTGTGTAGGGGTGACAGCGTGTTTGTAGGGGGCTGACAGTGTGTGTGTGTAGGGGGGGACCATGTGTGTGTAGGAGGGTGACAGTGTGTGTGTGTGAGAGAGGTGACAATGTATGTGTGTGGATAACAGTGAGTAGGGGTGATTACAGTGTGTGTAGGGGTGTGACTGTGCATTTGTGTGTGGAGGGTAACCGTGTGTATGTGTGTGTGGGGGAGGGTGCTGGCAGTGTGTGTGACAGGTGAGGGGAGGTCCAGTGTGTGTGTGTGTGTGTGTGTGGGGGGCGGTTATACTGTGTGGAATGACAAGTGGGAGGAGGGTGACACTACATGTTTGGGGAGGTTGTTTCAGTGAACACTAAACTACCTTTTTTAAAAAAAAATAAATCCATTCCCTGGTGGTCTAGTGGTCATGATATTAAATCTGCAGAGGTGCAGAGGTGCAGAGCTTCAGACCATGTGTCTCGCCAGGGCTGATCCAGGCTGTGACTAGCCGGCTGGCTGCAGCTGGCAGCTATGACTGGCTGGCAGGCCTCTTTCTTCTGCCAGCAGGTGTCTGTTTCTTCCCCCAATTCCTTTGTGTGTCTCTTTCTTCCCCTAGCCCTTTGTGCATCTGTTTCTCCCACAACTCCTTTGTGTGTCTCTTTTCCCCCTTCCCCAGCCCCTCTGTGTCTCTTTAGCCCACCCAGTGCTTCTAGGTTCCTCTTTGTGCAACCTGCCCTTCTGTATGTCTCTTTGTGCCCCAAGCCACTCTGTGTGTTTATGTGCCCCCCAGCCCCTCTGTGTGTTTATGTGCCCCCAGCCCCTCTGTATGTGTCTTTGTCCCACCTCAGCCACTCTGTGTGTACCCAGCCCATATGTGTGTCGCTCTGTGCCCCCAGACCCTCTGTGTGCCTCTTTGTGCTCCTCCCTCCTGTGCCCTCTTAAGCCCCCCCCACTGCACACTCTTTAACCCCCCTGCCCTCATGTGTCCTTATGTAGCCTCCCTTCCCTCCTGTGCCCCTTTTGCCCCCTCCCCTCCCCTCCCCTCCTGTGCCCTCTTTAGCCCCTCTCTCCTCCTGTGCCCTTATGTAGCCTCCACCCCTCCTGTGCTCTTCTTGTGCCCCCTCTCTTTCCTGTGCCCTCTTTAGCCCCCTCCTCTCCTGTGCCCTTATATAGCCCCCTCCCATCCTGTGCCCTCTTAAGCCCCTTCCCCTTCCTATGCCTTTCTTTTGTACCTTCTTCTTCATGTGCCCTCTTTATCCCCCCACCCCTCCTGTGCACTTATGTAGCCCCCCTCCTTTATGTCTGCTCACCTTCCAGCCCAGCAAGCCTTCCAGGAGCTCTGAGGGCCGTCATGCAGGAGGCATGGCTTAAAAGGAGGGCATGATTTTGCACGATGGGGCGAAGCCTACCATAACAATGCGCCTTTACTCACAGTACCGGATTTGAATCAGTACCGGATTTGAATTGGGGAGGCACAAGGGGGGCATAAAGTAGGGGGGGTGCATGGCCTCCTCTGGCCCCCCCTAGCAATGCCATCGCTGCTCAGGCCTGTAATTTTTAAAATATTTATGCAGTAAAGTAATAGCTTTCTCACTCTGTTTTACTGTACCAAGTATTATGTACAGTAATTTGTAAATACTGACATATGACTTTTAGTGTCTTTTGTAAGTCCATTAATAAATAGGCCCAGAGGAGACCACTGAAGGTGGGGCACAACATTTTCACTCCCCATTAGCCATTGGCAAGTGACAGTTTAGCTCTGATGAGCATGCCATGGACTCTCCACGCCTGCAGTGGCAAGTAACTTTTAAGATACCGTAGGACAAAACATTCTACCCTTGCCTAAGAGGCTCCACTTACCACTTTTGTACAATTTAAAATTTTCTATAACAACTGCTGTCTGCATTGTGTGTAAGCCAATCTGCAATCCAAGAGCATGAATTTCATCTAAACTAATTGCTTTTACAGTAATCATTTGTTGCAAAATTCACATAGATCACATCCAGTGCAACACCCTGATCTATAGATCTATTAATATCTTTACAGAATGCAATTAATTTAGATTGACATAATCAGTCTTTCATAAAGACATGTTGATTATTACTAATGACATTATTGTACACAATGCATTTCTGAAAGATTAAAACAGCAGAATGCACAACAACCTCAGCCCAAGCTAACGCACCTACCGCTAGAGAGGACACCTGAGCCCTGAACAGAAAACACCCACAGA